TGTCAAATTTCTTTTTTTTTTTGCATCTATTGAGAGGGTCGTATCGTTCGTATTCTTTCTCTGATTGATGGTATGTATTACATTGATTTATTTGTGACTATTGAACCACCCTTCCAGCCAAGGAATAAATCCCACCTGGTCATGTTAAAGGATCCTTTTAATGTATTGTTGGATTCATTTGCAAGTATTTTCTTGACAATTGTTGCATCCATGCTCAGTAGGGCTAGTGGCCTTAAGTCTCATTTTTAGTGGGGTTTAATCTGGTTTGGAACCATGGTCATACTGATCTTATAGAATGAATTTGGAAGTCTTCTTTCCATTTCTATTATTTGGAACAGTTTGGGAAGACGGGAATATTCTATTCTACTTAAATAGAATATTTGACACTCTTCTTAAATATCTGGTAGAATTCACCTGTGAACTTATCTGGTCCTGGAATTTTGTGTGTCAGTAGATTTTTGATTAATGGTTCAATTTCTTTGCTCATTATCAGCCTGTTCACGTTTTCAATTTCTTCCTATTTCAGATTAGGTAGTTTACATTATTCTGGGAATTTATCCCTTTCTTCCAGATTGCCCAATTTGTTGGCATATAAATTTCCAAACTATTTTCTCATAGTTGTATTTCTGTGGTGTCAGTCGCGATGTCTCCTCTCAAATTCTAATTGTATTTATTTTGTCCTTTCTCTTTTGTTTTTGCTAAGTCTGCTCTTGGGTTTATTATTTTTATTTATTCTTACAAAAACCAACTTATAGTTTCATTCATCTGTTCTACTGTTTTTCTTTGTTTCTATACCATTTATTTCTGGTCTAATCTTTTTGTTTACCTACTCCTGCTGGCTTTAGGGTTCATTAGCTGGCCTTTTTCTAACTCCTTTAGTTGTAAAGTGGTTGTGTGTTTGAGACCTTTCTTCTTTCTTGAGCTTGGCCTGTACTGCTACACATTTCACCCTTCCATCAAGTTTGCTGCATCCAGATGGTTTGGAACTGGCATGTTTTCATTTTCACTTGCTTCTATGTATTTTGTGTTGCTTCTGTAATTTCCTGAAAATATCATTCAGCTTTTACACAATGTTCTGGAACCTAATGTATTGGTGGTGTTGCCCAAATTTTTTTGTGGTTGACTTCAAGTTTCATAGTGTTGTGGTTTGAAAATGCGCATGGAATGATCTCAATCTTTTTGTACTTGCAGAGGGCTGATTTGTGGCAGATTATGTGATCTGTTCTGGAGAATGTTCCATGCACACTCAAAAAGAATGTGTATTCTGGTGCTTTAGGATGGAATGTTCTGAATATACCTGTTAAGTCCATTCAGTCTGTGTGTCTTTGAAAGCCATTGTTTCCTTATTGATTTTCAGCTCAGATTGTCTTTCCATTGCTGTAAGTGGAGTGTTAACGTTCTCTATTATTAATATTGTCTATTATCAATGAGTTTATGTTTCTTATTAACTGATTTATATATTTCAGTGCTTACATTTTTCGGGTATAAATATTTAAAGCTTTGCGTCTTCTTGTTGGATAGACCTCTTTATGATGATATACTGCCTTCCTGATCTCTTGTAATGAACTTTGGTTTGAAATCTAGGTAGTGTGATATGAGTATGGTACTGGAACTTTCTTTTGACGTCCATTAGCATGATAAATTGTTCTACCTCCCCTCATTTTCAATCTATAGGTATTTTAAGTTGAAAATGAATCAATTGCATGCAGCGTATAGGAGGATCTTGTATTTGTTTTTATCCATTCTGATATCCTATGTCTTTTGATTGGAGCATGTTGCCCTTTTACATTCACAGTGTTTATTGATACATATAAACTTAGTGCCATTGTATTACCTCTAAAGTGATTGTTTCCGGAGATTTTCTCTGTTTATTTCTAGTCTTTGTTACTTTTAGTCTTCCTTCCCACTCAAAGGTTCCCCTTTAATTTCTCGCAGTGCTGATTTAGAGGCCATGAACTTGTTTGGTTTTTGTTTGTCTGGGAAATTCTATCACTCCTTGTATCTGAATGACTGCCTTACTGGAGAAACTATTCTTGGCTGTGTAATTTTCAATTGCACATGTTGAGGATATGATGCCACTCCCTACTTGCATGAAGGTGTCTGTGCAGACAACTGCCATTGTGTTTTTAATCTTCCCTTGTTAATTAGCGACTTCTTTTGTGTTGCTGCTTTTAGGGTTTTTCTTTATCTGAATGTTTTGCCATTCTTCTTATGATATGTCTCAGAGTTGGCCTGCTTTTTTTTTTAATTTTTTTTTTTTTATTTTAATGGGTGTTCTCTCTGCGTCCTAGATGTGGACGTCTGTTTCCTTCCCAAGCTTGTGGAAATTTTCTCTATAATTCACTCAGATAAAACGTATCCCTCTTTTTCTCCACTTCTTTTGGGACTCCTTTCAAAAGAATGTTATTACAGTTTATGGGGTTGCTGATTTCCCTAAGTTTGTGATGCAATATTTTAATTTTCCTCTTCCTTCCAGCTTCATTTCCCCCATAATTTTATCTTCTATGTGCCTTCCTCATTCATCTGCTTTTTTCAGCCTTGAGGTCATTATATCCAATCAGTTTCACATCTCAGTTACAACATTTAAAATTTCATCCTGACTAGGTTTTAGGTCTTTTATGTTTGCAGTAAGGGTATCCCTCATGTCTCATATATTTTCCTCAAGCACAGCTGGTATCCTTATGATACTTTTTAAAATCCTGTTTCATTATAAGAGTTTTTAGAAATTCTGTTTGAAACATATTATTTATATGTGTTTTAAGTATATCCCTCACAATGACCTTTTATCGTTTTTTCTTCTAGGATGAATTCCTCAATCATGTTGTTGTCTATGTCTCTGCCTTCTTAAATGTTTTAGAAAATCCTGTTATTTTTTCTGCTTCTAGGGTAGTATCTTTATTGAGAAGTGTTCACATACTGTCCAGGGCCTGACACTTCATGAAGCATTTGTTTTATGTTCCATGGCACTGTGCTGTCGTGTTTTGGCTGCTCTGTCCCTCAGGACAGTCCTCTGCAGAGTTTCTCCTTGCCTCCAGTGGGGAATGTTGGACCTTGTCCCCAGTGTTGTGAGTTTTCACTAGGTGAGTTTGGTCTGCTTGTTAAAAGAGGCTAATTCCTATCTCCCTTAGAGGTGAAGCTATTCCTCCCTATACGGTCAGTTGACTTGATGCCTGTGGGTGTATACAGTGGTCTTTGGAGGGAGGGGTGCAGTGGTGGTCTGGTTGCCAGGCACTCTTTCCTGGTAAGCAAGCACTTGATGGGAGCAGGAGTAGGTGGAGCTTGGTGTTAGTGGCTCAGCTTCCACTAGGGATGCTGTGCTGCTGAGTGAAATCTGTCAATGTTGATTGGTGGGAGGAAATATTGGCGTCAGCTCCCTCTCTAGTCCCTGGAATTGGAGTTCCCAGTCTCCTCTGTTCAGGAAGCCCTCACACAGAGAGAACACTTGTGGGTCCCAGGCTTCTGTCAGAATTACTTTCACGCTGTCTGTGTCCAAGCAATTGGCCCATCTGGTGGCACAGGGTGGCACAGCCCTCGTGGCACAGGGCTCTCACATTTTATCTCAAGAGCTCTAGCTGGGTTTGAAAACTCCAAATTATGTGAACTCAATATGTCAGGGACCCCACTGATCCTCTGGGAGAGGATATTGATGTGCTCTGCCTGGTTTACCCCAGAGCTGGTTTACCCCAGAAGATCAGTTGCATGAACACTAGGGGCTTGGAGTTCATGGTGAAGAACAACAAGAAGGCAGTGTCCAGTTAGCTGCTCTCAGAAGAGGATCCTATGCTAATGATCAGGGAATTTTAATGGTGCCTGTCAGCTCTCCTGTCCTATGAGAGGCAATGCGCCATCTCCCAAACGCATTCCAAGAAGGGAATTGTCTCTCCCGATGCGACCCAGGGGATACTCAGACTACAGTTCCCCTTATGGGCCTCTCCCCTCTTTCACAGGAGCACTGCTATGCCCACCAGGCTCCACCCCAATGATGGAATCGACTTAAATCTTCAGTCTTTGAGCTCCACGTTTACAGGGGGTTGGCTTTTCATGATTAACTTTATAGGTTATCTTGACTGCATCATGGGTGCCCAGATTCACCACTGTTTCTGTGGATGTCTGTGATGTGTTCCAGAAGAGAATGGGATTTCCTTCCATGGTTTCTGTCTGCCTGGGCACCACCCATTCCATTAAGGTTGTGAATAGAATCGGATGCAGATGGAGGAAGAATTCCCTCATTTTTACTTCCCATGTGCTTGTTTGAACTGGAATATTGATCTCCTCTGGCCCTTTTTCTGAGAGTTACATCATCAGCTTTCCACGTTCTGAGATTAGACACTAGTTCAGAATCAGACAAGAATTACATCACTGGTTTTCCTGGGTCTTCAGCTTGTGACAGTAGATCATGGGACTTCTTAACCTCTTTTGTCATGGAAACTAATGTGCTTTGGGTTCTTTTGCTCAAGGGAATCCTGACTAATACATGGAGATGATTTATCTCTCGTTTAGAGGAATTGAATAAAGCTGCAGCTCACTTAAAGAACTGAGTTTCAAGTGCCAGGAGGGAAGTGTCATGTTGTTTGACTGGGTCCAGGGCTGGGTGAGGATAAGGAGGAGCTGTGGGATCCTGTGGTCCTGGCTGCACAGGGAGTGCATCTGGGACTCGTGTAACGGATCAGCTGTTGTGCCTCAGGAAATGTGTAATTCACTCATGTTGTTGGACCAGAGTAAGCAAGGGCAAACAACTGTGTCTTTGTGCATGCTAGTGTAGTTTTCCTATGACAACACAGTTGCTAATTCAGACGTTAATAGGTAAACACAGAATCATAAAACCAGGGAGGCTCCCTGGGGAAACTGCTGTGTGGAGAGGAAGCCCCAGACCCTGACAGGAAACCTGCCTGTAACCTCCATCTGCACCTGCTCTTGGGCACTCAAAGCAGAATTGTGCATAGTGTGCATCCCCCTGGTGGTGCTGATCCCGTCCTGCAGGGAGGTTTGTGTCTGGGCTCCTAGTGAGGTCCCCTCACGGTGTCTCTCGCACAGTAATATGTGGCCGTGTCCTCGGTCTTGAGGTTGTTCATCTGCAGATACAGCGTGTTCTTGGAGTTGTCTCTGGAGATGGTGAATTGGCCCTTCATGGAGTCTGCATAGTTTGTGCTACCTCCACTACCACTAATTTCTGCGACCCACTGCAGCCCCTTCCCTGGAACCTGGCGGACCCAGCTCATCCAATAGCCATTGAAGGTGAATCCAGAGGCTACACAGGTGAGTCTCAGGGACCCTCCAGGCTTCACAAGGTCTCCCCCAGACTCCACCAGCTGCACGTCACACTGGACACCTACAGACACAAGACATGTTGGTCAGGAAACTGTCACACATTCACTGGTTCTCACTCATATCCACTCACATACTCAGTGTCTCCCGGTCACCATAAATTACCTTTTAAAAGAGCA